ACACCTCGTCGGTGAGCCCATATCCAGTGTGGGTCATGGCTTTAAAGGCATGGAGCTCTGACAGCGGCTTGTGTGCAGAGAGGCCTCTGATTGTCCTCATGACTGGAAGGGTGGAGAGGGTCAGATCCAAGTGAGGCCGTAGAGTAGAGGGTGAGGCCTAGAAAGCATTGTGGAAACCTTATAAATCAGCAAAAGAGCAAGTTGTCCAAGAGGAAGGCAGGTATCCCTCCCCGCCAAAGCCCATGAAATACCCCAGACACAGTCATAGTGTTAAAAGTGAACTATGGTTCATACCCACACTCCTGGGAAGAGATTTAAGATGCTAATGGGTGAACGTGAAGATGCATACGAAATTACATGTGTATAGGAGATAAATCATGCGTAAGAAAAGAAAATCAGCATTATACAACCCCCCCCCCCGGGAAAAAAACAAACAAACACCAAAAACCCTTTGATGTGAAACTACTGCCATAAATGTCAGCTCTGTACAGCAGGCCCCTGGGCTTCCAGACCTCTGCTCTGGCCTGCTTCCTCTTTGGAGGTGTGTCTTTTTCTAATAAACAGTGCAGGCTTCTGCTACTGGTTTTGTTATAGCAGCAATAAAGTCTCGTTAAGAGAAAACTCCTGGTCGAGAGAATAGAATCTCTGACTTAAGTGGAGACCTAATATTCCAGTTGGGCTGGGCCCATCACCTGGCCAAGGGACCACCGATAGTTAAGCCATGCTAACGAGCTAGACAGAATAATTAGTTCTTTAATGAGCTACTGTCCTTTTCTGATCCAGAATCCACACCCTTGATGCAGTATCTTGGGCCACAGCCATGAAGCCTCATCAGTCTGCCTGCTTTTCTAATGTATCCTCCCCTGGTTTTCTTTCTCTATTTCTAGGTGATAGAACGTGTAAATTGCAGGAGAGCCGTAAGCTCTCCTTATGGGAAAGGAAGCCATAAGGATATAAATTCCCCAAGGTAGCCAAACGGTCCAGATTGGTGCTTGGCCTTTGCTCAAGCCTTATCAACTGGTCACTTCCCTGGCTGACAGAGACTGTTTACAGGGCCGACTTATGTCTTTTGGTGATAACTTGCCTGCTCATCCTGAGAAAATAATCGCAGGAAGAAGACCCTCAGTTACCCAAGGACACTGGCACTGAGCGAATTCTTGCGGCTGCATTCAGCAGAGTTCCTGTATGAGTCCAGATTGCTCTGCCTTTCTTTGGTGATGCCTGGTTTCTGTGGACAGCAGCGGCCCTTTGCTGCGTTCTGCTGAATAAAGGAACATATTCCTTGCCTGTTGCAGGTCTGACTCTGGTTCTTATTTCTTAATTTTAAACTCCTTCCTTTTTCTGCTCTCCTAAATCTAACACTAAGCGTGCTTTCCTTAACACTTTGGGCATCCCCAACATTTTAGGTTTCTTTACTTTTTCCCTAAAAGCTCCCCTCCCCACTGAAGGGAGACCTCCATTAGCCCCAAAGCATAAAGCAATTCTAGTTTTGCAAAAAAACCTGTTCTGGACCCCCCAACCATAAACTCTTTCCTAACCACCGTGACTGTTTACATATACAAAAGTACTTAAGCTCCCTTGCTGTTTAGCCAGTGTGGCTACTGCAGACTCCTGCTGGTCAGTGGTCTCCCTCATTGACTAATAAAAACTCATTGTGGATTGTATGAGGTTGGTGCTTTTCCCTTCCTACCTGTGATTCTTTGAACTCCTAACCCTAACATTTATTCAGGAAAGAGTACTAACCCAGAGAGAGCTCTCTGCTTAAAACTCCTATTCCTAACACGCATTATGTGGCTGCTGGTCTGTCTGGTAACTGACCTCCTCACCACCCTGGGCAGCTTTTTTCCTTCCATCCTCCAATCTCCTCTTGTGGGCAGCTGCTGAGCCTTACAGCTTGCTTGCCCTGAGGTTTTTCTTTTAAATACTAATAAAATTGTTCTCAAGGTTCCATTCAAGTCCTTTCTTAAATTCTTTCATCAAGGAGACTAAGAACTGTGAGAAGCAACCGGATTGATTTCCCCTGAGTCACTTTCATTTCCATTATTGTGATAAAACAACAGGTTAAAAAGCAACTTAAGGGAGAAAGGGCTTGTTCCCTTTACAATTCCAGGTTTAGCAGGGAAATCAAAGCAGGAGCTTGACCTAGTCACATAGCATCCACCATTAAGAACAGAGAGAGATGTAGGACTGCATGCCTAATGCTCAGTCACTTCCTCTGTTATACAAGTTAAGGTCCTGCTCATTAACTGGGGACACCCACATTCAGGGTGGTTTTTCCTATCACACAACTTAGATAATCCCTCACAACTACCTGTAACTCCAGCTCCAGGGGATCTGACACCCACTTCTGGCTCCCAGGGCACCTGCATACATGTAACATGGACTCACACAGGTACACACGGTCATGGCTATAGGCTAGCCCAACCAGGCAATTCCTTATGGAGACTCTCTTTCCAGATGATTATAGATTAGGTCAAGTTGAGGAAACTAACCATCACACATGTGTCTGTCTAATTCCTTGTTCAGGGCTGGAACACTGAGAGGTATGCACAGAACCCTCCCCTCCACCATAAGATATCCTGCTTAAAAACAAATCAAACAAATCTGGCTGGCTGTCCAGCATGAGAAGAAGGCGCATAAGAATGGAGGAGGCTGATTCTGCTGCCTAGGACTTCTGATTGGGTGTTTCTGCAGGGGAGATTGGGGGTGGTGGTGGTGGAGATCAGGCCCAGCTTGGTTGTTTATTTTAAACAAGAACTAGAAAAAAGGAGTAGGTGGGTTAGTAGTACACACCTACAATCCCAGTACTTGAGAGGCTGAGTCAGGAGGATCCTTGAGAGGCTATCCTGGGCTACCTAGTTCCTGGCTATGTAAGACTCTGTCTCAAAAAAAAGAGGACAGCACTGGAGAACACTTCCTGTTGTTGGGTGGGAGTTTAGTTCGCAACACCCACATGCACACACTGTAGAACCCTGAGACCCTCTTCATTCATCCGCTACCCCCCAATCCCTCCA